ACACCGTGGCCCCTTGCGACCAGCCTTCCCCTCCCCCGTCCCTGGCAGCCACCGGGCTGCCTCCCGGGCGTGTCATCGCGGCTTTTCCAGAATGTCATACACGTGATCATCATTGTGTAGACACTGAGGCTGCTTTCTCTGCTCAGCAAATGCGTCTGACATGCATCCATGTGTGGGAAGGGTGCACACGCTCGCACGGAGGCCACGCGGCGTATCTGTGCCCGACACACCTTCAGGGTTTTCTTTCCTGCTTGGCAGTTACGAAGAGAGCAGCTATATGCATATAGGACATGTTTTTGTGCGAAAGTCGTTTTTGTTTTTCTAGGCTTAACACCTATTTGGGGAAATGCTAAGTCATATGATAAGTATATGGTTAACTTTTAAAAACATTTATGTTTTCATTGCCTTTTTTTTGGGAGGGGGGAGAGGAAGGGAGAGAGAGAGATGGAAACATCAATGTGAGAAACATGGATCAGCTGCCTCCTGCACGCCCCCTACTAGGGATGGAGCCCACAACGCGGGCAGGTGCCCTGACCCGGAATCAAACCAGGACCTCTCAGTCCATGGGATGGTGCTCAATCCACTGAGCCACACCGGCCAGGCAATATATCGTTAATTTTATAAGAAATTGCCGGTTTTTCAGAGTGACTGCACCATTTTGAATTCTCCTCAGCATTCTTGCCAAATCTTTGTACTATTGGTCTTTATGGCCTTTTTATTTTTCAAGAAATTCTAATAACTGGAGTGGTATCTGTAACTTTAATTTGCATTTTCCTGGTGACTAAGGATGCTGAGCAACTCTCTGTGGGCTTATCTGCCAACCACATAACTTCTACGGTGAAATGTTTTATTAAATCTTTGGGGAATTTTTAAAAATTGCATTGTTTACTTTCTTACTGTTGACCTTAAGTTCTTTTATTTTCCATTCTGGTAATTATGCTTTTAATTGGCGTGCTTGGGCCATTTTCATTTAATGTAAGTATTGATATGCTTGAATTTAGGTCTGCTATTTTAATAGTTGTATTTTGCTTCTCCCATTTCCCTTTCCTGCTTTCTTTTAGATTATTTGAATTATTTACTAGATGTACACATTTAAAAACATAGCTTTTAAATTTATAAATATACACATTTTTAATTTATATATTTAAAATACAAATAATATATATTTTATATATACTTAAATTATATATATATACTATTTACATATATTATACATAAAATATATTTTTAAAGGTATACATCCAGTTTTTTATTTTGTCCTTAGTGATTGGTCTGGAGATTTAAATGACACACTTAACTTCATAGTCTACTTAGAGTTACTACTTTACCTCTTCAAAAGCAATGTGATAACCTTATGTCCCATACAGGTCCCTGCATTTCCCCATTAAGTTGTAGTTGTTATATCCCATCTATGTGCATTAAAAACCCGGTCAGGTCCAGCTGGTGTGGCTCAGTGGTTGAGTATTGACCCACGCACCAAGAGGTCACTGGTTCGATTCCCAGTCAGGGCACGTGCCCAGGTTGTGGGCCAGATCCCCAGTGGGGGGCGTGCAGGAGGTGGTCAATCGATGCTCTCTCTCATCAATGTTTCTCTTTCTCCCCCTCTCCCTTCCTCTCTCAATGAAGGAAAAAAATTATAAAACAACAACAAAGCCCCATCAGATAGTACTATAACTTTTGCTTTGGACCAGCACAGATATTTTTAAAATCTTAAGAGCCAATTATATTCACCAGAACGTGAACTGCTCTCCCTTTGGCCCAAAGCACATGTTTCTGTCCCCTGCGGGTCCCTCCATCCGAAGCCCTTCCTGTACACTTCGCACAGCCGCTCAGCCGGTGGCACAACCTTTCACTTTTCACTAACCTGAGAATGTTTTTCTTGTGCCGTCTTCCCTGAAGGATGCCTGCACTCAGTGTTTTGTTGACGGTGTGGTTTTCAGCGCTTTAAAAGCAGCTGCCCCAGTGCCTCTGGCCCTGAAGGGAACGGGTCCTTCCCTGTGGCAGGTTTCAATATTTTATTTAATTTTGAGCAGTTTAATTATGCTTCCAAGTGTGGATTTCTTTGAACTTATTTGTCCTGTCTGAAGTTCAGTGAGTTTCTTGCATCTGTAATTTTATGTCTTTCACTAAATTTTGCAAGGCTTAACCCATTTTTCCTTCAACTGTATTTCTGGACCACTTTTTCCTCTCCTTCTAGGGGTGTAGCTGTACATCAATATCGCTTTAGAGATACATATTTTTACCCGGCAGCCACAGGCTACAGGTCCTGACATACTTTCTGCAGATCCTATGCGTCATGGTTAGAGGGTCCCTCCAGGTTTCAAAGACTTCACAGTGCTCTTGGCATCAGCCCCTCACGTGGCCGCCCGGGCACCTGCCTGGGACCTGCACCTGGTCTCTCCCAGCTCAGTTCTCAAAGCTTTTGGGTTCTGGGTTTGGGATTTGGGCTTAGGCAGTGGAGGTGCACCCAGGAGCTCACACCAACTGTATTAAACCCCCTCCTCTGTGCATGCTCCCCACACTGTGTGGCTCCCTGAAACACCCCACCCCACCCCTCGGTCTTCTGGCTAGAAATCCAGGCATTTTGTTTTCTAAGTCTGCTCTTCCCTTCCTGCCATTGTTTCTGCCTCCAGGGCCAAGTGACACAATAGAGAGAAGGAGCAATTCCTCCTCTGGGGACCACAGTGTGAGCAGAGAATGGGGCTCCTCCCTGAGGTCCGAGGGCCTGCCTGGCACTCTCCAGGGTGCAGGACGCTGGGGCCGCAGCAGGAGGGGACAAAAAACACTAACAGGACAAGACCCAGCTCTCCCTGACCCCCCCCCTTCCCCGAACCTAACAGGCCCCTTTGCTGTTCTTGGACACCTTTCTGTCCCCACTGGCGCAAAGTTGGCCTTTGAGTTACTGCTCCAACCATCTGACAGCATTTATGTCCCGTGTCCGCAAAGCGCTGCTCTGTGCTGCCCAGGGCCCTGGGTTGCATTCAGTGGTGACACAGAGCACACTCAGTCCATCCTAACTGTGACAGACCCCAGCTCTCGCTCTGAAACTGCTCTATTCCGGTTCCTCCCAGCTACGTGATACAGAAACTCCAATCCTACAGCACTGTCTCTGGTGACCAGTCAATTATAACTGGATGTGGTTGGTTCTTTGTTTCTAAAGAAGAGTTTAGCTATCAGGACCTGCTCCGAAGAACTTCATGCTGCCGAGAGCGGAGAGAGACTCGTGCCTTTACTCTGGAGGCCTCCACGCATGCCGGAGGCTGGGACCCAGCAGGACCGGCGCAGGGCGGGACCCCTGTCGCGAGTGGCTGCAGTGGTTCATAGCCAGCATGCGGAAGGCGCTTCTACCTGTGACCCTGAGGATGCGCCAGGAGGAAAACCGACGACAGGCGCGCACAGCCCGACTGCGGCGCTCCGTGTGCCATGTGGACACGGCCCCCGTGAAGGCCGGTGATGAAGCAGACACGCAGGCACCTTTGCGGCGCATCCTGTCTGGTGGGGGCGCTTGGTCCCGGAGAGAGAATCAGAATGCAAGAGGCACCGAGCTTAGGAAAGAGCCTGCAGGACAGGGCAGCACAGCTGCAGACCTGCCTCACCCCTGAGCCTCCGTCTCCCTCGCTCTGCGACGGGGACGCTCCTGCGGATCGTGCTGGACGGCTGAGCTTAACGTCCATCTGTGCTAAGTTCCGGGCGCTATTTAACAGTTAGCATTAACCAAGCACTGTCGCGAGAGCTTCACAATTAAATCATCGCCTCTCCCAAGAGTCCTGTAAGGGGATTTTTTTCACAAATGAGGTAACTGGAGCCCTGAAAACTTAAAAAACTGTGGCGGAGCCGGATTTCTTAACCAAGCCTCTGAGGCCGGAATCGGCCTGTCGCTCTGTGCGCCGCCCCCCAGCAGCGGTCACTCTGTGCATCCCCCCCCCCCAGCAGCGGTCACTCTGTGTGTCCCCCCCCAGCAGTGGTCACTCTGTGCGCCCCCCCCAGCAGCGGTCACTCTGTGTGTCCCCTCCCAGCAGCGGTCACTCTGTGCGCCCCCCCACTCCGCACGCAGCGGTCACTCTGTGCGTCCCCCCACTCCGCACGCAGCGGTCACTCTGTGCGTCTCCCCCCCCCCCCCCCCCGCACGCAGCAGTCAAGACTAGCGCACCTGGCAGTGCGCAGGTGTCTCCGCTTGGATGTCAGCGGAAGAACGTGAGGGAGGCAGCGAGCGGGGAGGAGGGGGAAGAGGCAGCTTTCTCTTTGAAGTTCCGCCAGGTATCTAAGTTCAGCCTGGCCCCTCAGTGCTTGTGGGCACGGAGTAGGCATCCTCTTACTTGTGGGCCGAACAGCAGACTTTTCTGCGCTCTCCTGTTGCCCTGCAGTTATAGTGGCCGAGGCCTGACAGGTCCCTGGGTCCAGAAGTGAAGGAAACAAACTGCAAGGCAGTGAGTCATGCACCTCTACCTTATTCCTCCACATTCAGGCTATAGTACTAGAACTCAACAGTCCTGCGCCAGGAACCTTGAGATAACCCCAAAGAAAGACTCGATTTATGGGAGGGTCTGGGAAATGGCAGATATCCAAGAAAACACTATCACCATTACATGCACCCCGGGCAGGGGTGGGGTGCTACTTTCAAGTCCAGGATGGTGGGAGATCCATAACTCAGGAAGTGGAACAGCCAGATGGGCACTGAGCATCTTCATGCAGCCCTCGCCTGCATTTCAGACCTCGGACTCTGGGGTGCAGAAGGCCTTCCGTGGACTGGAGGGCTTGGGCTAGCGCAAGTTTGCTGGTGCCCTCATTTCTCTCCACTCTCCCCTTTCTCTCCTTCTCAACTGTTAGAGAACAAAGCATTATGATTTGGGGGGAGTCCAGTACCCTCGTGTCATCTTCTAACTTGATATTTTTCTCTTGTTATCAGAGTATATCATCTAGCAGTTTCTTGTGACTTTTCCGCAAACTGATCGGCAGCCAACCAGAACCACACACTTCGACGCACTCCTTTACTGAAGAGCATGGCTAAGAGTGGGAAAGGCCCCAAGGGCAAGAAGATCACGTTCAACGTGGCCAAGAACTGCATTAAAATCACATTCGATGGGAGAAAACGCCTCGACTTGAGCAAGATGGGAATCACCACCTTCCCCAAGTGCATCCTGAGACTTAGCGACATCGACGAGCTTGATCTGAGCCGGAATCTGATCAAGAAGATCCCCGACTCGATCGCCAAGTTCCAGAATCTGCGGTGGCTGGACCTGCACAGCAACTACATTGACAAGCTCCCCGAGTCCATCGGCCAGATGACCAGCCTGCTCTACCTGAACGTCAGCAACAACAGGCTGACCAGCAGCGGGCTGCCCGTGGAGCTCAACCAGCTCAAGAACATCCGCACGGTGAACTTAGGCTTGAACCACCTGGACAGCGTGCCCACGACGCTGGGCGCCCTGAAGGAGCTCCACGAGGTCGGGCTCCACGACAACCTGCTCAGCAACATCCCCCACAGCATCGCCAAGCTCCCCAAGCTGAAGAAGCTCAACACGAAGCGGAACCCCTTTCCCCAGCCGCAGGCATCGGAAGCCTTCATAGACTCCATCAAGAGGCTCGACAACTTGTACCTGGTGGAGGCGAAGGATCTGTGTGCGTCCTGCCTGAAAAAATGCCAGCAGGCCCGGGAAAAGCTGAACAAAATCAAGAACATGGTCATGGGGACGCCGAGAAAGGCCATCTTTAGCAGTCTGGTCTCCCCCAATTCCACGGCCAAGGAGCACCAGGACGACTGGAGGTGATCCTGGACCGGAGGCCGACAGGGAAAAGGGAGGGAGGAAAGATGTCAATGGGCTGCATCCACAGAAAATTGAGAGATTACCCCTTTACTGCAATAGTCTTCCAGCTACGCCCATAAAATACCTTTCCCTACCATCCTGGCTTGTGATTGTGTTGACTGAAAGGCCTTTAGTTCTTTGTCATTGCCTTCCCCGCATGCACACCCCCCCACATACGGGTACAAGGGTAAGAAGAGGGCTTTGCCTCTCATTTCTGCCCCAGAATTCTCCTCCTACCTACAGCCCGTGGCCCCGGGCAGCAGGCATAGTCTGCATTTAGTTTCATCATCATGCATTTCAGGACTAACCGCCAGCTCCCAAATGTGGAGCTTGTTCTATGGAGCTGCTCTGGGTCAGAAGTTCAAAGGTCAGGGATCTGAGAGCATGGGTTGCTAGGAAGCAGATAGACATTTAGCCTTGGAAGAGAACCAAACTCAGCCACAGAGATGGGAAGATGTTACCGTTAGTACTGGCAGGTAACATCTAGGGCTCTAAGCAGTACTGTCTTTGTCCCACGTGTGTGTCTGCACAACGTGCTCTGGGAGCTTCCTCTGGACTAACCCTGCCCGCCCTTGACTGTGACTGGAGGTTCCACCCCATCTTGCTCTGTCCAGGTCTTTTCCAGGCTCCTGCGGGAGGAAGGAAGGAACGGCTGCAGGTAGGGTTGGTGAGTGGATAATACATCCCTTACTAGGCGCTGTGCTAGGCTCAGGGTCTGTGTCTAGTGGGAAAGCGCAGCCCACCGTGTGCAGCCTGCAGGGAGCACTCACTGGGCACTTTCTTAGTTTTGTTTCCTGCGCCTATAAAGTGGGAACGATAGGACCCCATTTCCAAGGGTCGTTGTGTACCTACAGCAGGTAGCACACAGGGTTAGTTCTAGACAGCACATGGGGTGAGTTCTAGACAACACACCGGGTGAGTTCTAGACAGCATACCGGGTTAGTTCTAGACAGCACACGGGGTGAGTACTAGACAGCACACGGGGTGAGTTCTAGACAGCACACGGGGTGAGTTCTAGAGAGCACACCAGTGAGTTCTAGACAGCACACGGGGTGAGTTCTAGACAGCACACGGGGTGAGTTCTAGACAGCACACCGGTGAGTTCTAGACAGCACACGGGGTGAGTTCTAGACAGCACACGGGGTGAGTTCTAGACAGCACACGGGGTGAGTTCTAGACAGCACACGGGGTGAGTTCTAGACAGCACACGGGGTGAGTTCTAGACAGCACACGGGGTGAGTTCTAGACAGCACACGGGGTGAGTTCTAGACAGCACACGGGGTGAGTTCTAGACAGCACACCGGGTGAGTTCTAGACAGCACACCGGTGAGTTCTAGACAGCACACGGGGTGAGTTCTAGACAGCACACGGGGTGAGTTCTAGACAGCACACCGGGTGAGTTCTAGACAACACACCAGTGAGGACCAGACAGCACACCGGTGAGGACCAGGCAGCACACGGGGTGAGGACCAGACAGCACATCGGTGAGGACCAGACAGCACATCGGTGAGGACCAGACAGCACACGGGGTGAGGACCAGACAGCACACCGGTGAGGACTGCCCAGAAGCCAGCTCGCTCAGAACTGCCGCCCGGTGCATCTCAAGGCCGACCTGCTGCTGGACGAGCTCCTACTCACAGCAGCTCTGGCGGAAACGAGCGTGGTTGAGTCAGTCCACACGACAGAGCCCCCTGCACTGCCGCTCACACCTCACCCTGCCTGGAAGCTAGGGCTCCACGGACACAGCTCTAGAAAAGTGTTCTTCAAATTTAATCAAGACTTTTCTGTGTCGGCGGCAAGTTCCATAGTCATCTCTAGTGGAAAGGCACAGAGAGGCACGGCTCAGTGGGCGGAGTGTATTTCTCTCTCACGTTATAAACCAGAGCCCACAGCATACTGCTCTCCTCTCTGTTTATTTCTATCCGCAGTGCTTGGCCAGGCAGCACCGTCACATTTCTAAGATGGAGATAAAAATTCCCTTTTCAGTTTTCCCTTTATTAAGTGGTTTTCATTATAAAAGTAACAACATTGCACCATCATGTTGATTGTAACAACTTAAAAGTATCCACAAGTCTCCAGTATGAGTGGCAACAGATGTCCTCACCAGTCACTTTTCTGTGCAGACTTTTGCATCACTAAAATGACAGCATCCACAGCTTTTTACCTTGTTTCGAAACCTGTGCTGTTACATTGGCTTCATCATAACTTCAAACATCTGCACGACAGTTCAACACAGAGACACAGAACTAGGGGTAGGGCTGAGCAGCTATATTGTTCCCTGCTTTTCAGTAATAGAAACAGTTTCGTGATGAAAGCCTGTATAATTAAGATTTTGAAGAATGCTACATGTTTTCCTTGGCATAGCTCCATTATTGCAAATACTGTGTTAAAGGGTGTGGTTTTTAAATAGTGTATGATACATGCTATCAAGTAGCTTATAGAGGTTTGCACACACTCACTCGTACATCTACCAGCAATGCGTAGAGAGCTGTTCTGGTACATGCTGCCTGCTCTGCGTACCGCCCTTCACATCTTCCCTCTGATTGCTGCTGGAAACGATTAGAAACCCTGTGATGATGTGCAGGATGAGGTGTCATGTCAGGAGCACTAGCGTGCTGGGCCCTGAACATGTCCCGAAGACGGCCTTCCTGCTATTTAAGCTACTCCATCCCAAGAAGTACAGTATCCATGCAGGGGATTAGACCTCAAACAGAGACAGGTGGCCAGTCGTCTGAATCTTGCCCATTCCCATTTCTCCCCCTTGAGACACTTTTTCCTTAGAATTAGTGTTCCTTTCTCATTTAGCAAGGGGTCAGCAGAGAACAGGGGTTAAAAGAGAAGAGGCCCCTTGGCCCTGGGAGGGTCCTGGTCTGCACCCGGATCTGCCCTTCTGCTCCCTGTCCGCCCATCAGGGCTCCAAACCCTTCCCAAGACCAATTCTGGATTCGCTGCCGACCTAGTGGGTGGCATGCGAGGTGACGTCTACTTGCAAACCTTGATCTGGGTGCCCGTATGCTTCCGTTCTCAATGCATGTCTCAGGAAGGGGTGTTAAGTCCCTGAACTTCGTCAGGGCTGAGACATCAGTGGGCAGTGGCTTTGGTTGCCCCAGGGTACATCCAGGTGACACACCTTGTTAGCCAGGAAACCCTGGTGGTGGTGAAGCCAAGACAAGAGATGAAATCAGTTAGGAGTCCCTTTCTACATTTTATTTATTTTTCTGTCAAAGAAAAGTTTTGATGTTGACGATCCTTCATGCTCTAAAATACCACCATCATCTTTAGTTTCTAGAAATTGTATTAAATCTAAAAACGCTTGATAGAAAACCATGGGGTTTCTCCTTCCTCAAATAGAATAAAAACCCTATTCCTCTAGCCAAGTCACCACCCTCTCAGAAAGGTGGGCGTGACCCGGCGACCCGGTGTGACCTCTGCCCCTCTGTGTCTTGCTCTGGGACTGCAGTCACGCACTGTCCCACCTCTTCTCTCTGCATCCCCAGGACAGCCCCAGCAGCTCCCCCGAGTAGCTTATGGCAGAAACTTGGAGACTAATCTGCTAACGAGAACAATCCCTCTGAACAAGGAAAGTCCTCAGCGAGGAGGAGAAAGTGAGCGGCAAGGGGAACATTCTGGAGGCCAAGCCCTCCGGGGCTGGCCAAGCCACAGACTTGCTTCTGCAGCGCCTTTTGCCTGTCTCTGAGCTAGATCATCTGTGTATGAAAATGACTTTGGAAAATATTTGTTTTATAATGTATGTAGAGAAAGTATTTAAGAAAATAATAGCTATAAATTATAAACAAAAAATGTAAAAGAAGGTTGTAAGACTTAAGAGTGATGGTCTCTACGCTTCACTCAAACTGGTAAAATATCAACACCAGTCACCTGTGATAAGTTATGTATGTATAAGGCAATACCTCAGGCCACTAAAATGTTTGCCAAAAATTCATACCGAGAAATACATTACAAAATAATTTAGATTAATGAAAGTGGAATTTCAACAAATCTTTTAATAATGCACATGTAGGAAGGAAAAAGGAAACAGAGAAATGAACAACAGGGAAAAGACTCAGAAACAAAAAGTAAAATGAAAGACTTCTGTCCTAACATCTTAATAAGTATATTAAACCTACAGTCTTCTTCATCTGTAATGGCTCCAAACCAAAAATCACCACCCGTCCCTGAATAGGCAAAGGGCTAAACAAACGACGGTATATCCACACCATGGAATACTACTCAGCAGTCAAAAGGAACATGATATTGATACCTGCAACAACCCGCACAGATCTCAATGACATTCTGAGTGAAAACGGCCAATCTCCAAAAGTCACATACTCTACGATCCACATGGAGAACATTCTCTAAGTGACAAAATGATAGAGACGAAGAGCACATCAGTGGTTGCCCAGCTTTCTGTTGATAAGGGTGGGGGTGGGGCATGACCAGAAGGGTAGGCCAGGAAATCTCTCTGTGGGGATGAAAGTAATGTGCATGTTGGTGGTGGTAGTTACACACTGCTACACATATGATTAGATGGCAAAATACTGTGCGTACATATTGTACCAATGTCAATCTCCCAGTTTTGAGATTATAGTGTAATAACATAAAATGCAAGTATTGGGGAAAATTAAATGAAGGCTTCATGGGGACTCTATGTATTCTTTTTGAAACTTCCTGTAATGCTGTAGTTAATTTAATATCAAAAATTAAAAACAATCCCACAAGCTAGATGTAGTAATAAACAGATCTTCGTACGTGTCGAGTGCTCATTGGTGAGTGAGCCATGGAGACTCAGGCTGAAGAGCCCCCTACCCTCAGTTCTCCGAACTAATCTACGTTATCCGTGATCGATCATGTCATTGAAGATTCCTGAGAAATGTGCTGAAATTAAAGGAAATGCCTGGTGTCTTGACCCCTGTCCCAGGTTTGCTGGGGCTGGCTGGGCACACATGGCCATTGGGGGAGGGGGCCTTGAACCAGGGAGCTTCTGCCTCCCCAGCCTGGGTTTTTGCATCCCTGTCCCTGACCCCATGGGAGCGTGCCACCAGGTTGCTGTCGCCAGCGCAAGGCAGTACACAGGTGGGTGTTCAGGGTTATCTTCATGAACGAGTGAGAAGTAATTTCTGCACATTTGACTCATACCCAGGGCAAGCATGATGTCTTCCACTTGGCAGTCATTTCTGTGTGGATGACCAACTCGCGGCCACAGCCACAGTTTAGCTCCTCTGCCTACCCCCCTCCATCTGGGACAGGAATCCAGGTCCTCACCTGTGTACGCAGTGTTGGGACAAAGCATCTCTCAGACTCCGAGGACGACAGAATAGGAAAGGGTAGGGAACCACACTCACAGCTGTAGGGACAGCTGTGTGACCACGGAGGGACACTGTACATACAGGACATTTATAAGGTAATCTACAGAGACAAGGGGTGAGGGAAGTGACTTGTGTCAGAGTTGACGCACAAAGAGCGAGGTTCCAGGGAGTGAGGAATGGACATATCACCCTCAAGGGCTGTGGTCCCTGGGGTTGCTTTCCGCCTGGGGCATGGCCACCTGCTCTGTTGATACTTCAGGAGTCACCCCTCTTGCGATACCAGAACCTTGATCCTCTTGGGAAACCACCCTCCCCTCAGTGTGGGTGGGCTGACTCCTCTCCCAGAGGTGGGTGGGCGCGCGACCCTCACCTGGCCTATGAAAGCCCCTGACTGGTTCTGGAATGGACACAAACCCAATTTGGGCAGATGAAAATCACTCTCTGGGATTTTTGCTAAAATTACTGGGACAGAGCATTCTCATGGGATTGACTATCAGCTAAGCGCTGCGGGGCAGTGTGTGCGAGAGTCTGCTGAGCATGGAGCCCGGGACGCTCCGCCGTGAATGGACAGCCACCGTGTCCTGAGGGCCTACGGGCGCAGGTGTCCTGAGGGCCTACGGGCGCAGACATCTAGCTGCCCGCAGCCAGGCCGATCTGGCCTTCAGCAATGTGGGGTGTGGACTTTCTTTGCTTCAGTTAGTTGGAAATGGCTTTCTACCACTTACACCGAAACATCACAGAGAATCCAAGTGTGAAGATGAGGCTTATGTGAAACAAACATGAGCTCACCAGGGCTGATATTCAACTTCCACACACATCTAGGGCTCTGCTATTATTGAACCACTGAAACACCTCCAGTCCAGCTGGTGACAGCAACACCCGTCCAGTGGCCCCCGCTACCCAGGCCTCATAGACTGGTGTCTGGTATGCCCTGGACCCCCCACAATCTGCCAAGTGATGGGTTATTGCCTGAAACAACAGGGAGCTTCTGCCAGCAGCCACTCAAATGGACCTTCTGGAGTCATCAGTGACCTGCGTGTCACAAAGCTCAACGTCCCTTCTCAGTTCGCATCTCGCTTGGCCTACCAGCAACATCTGACCAGTAGCACAGGTGGCCGCTCCCTCCTTGAAACACTAGCTGACTCTCAGGACACCTTCCACACCTGCAGTTCCTCCTATCTTTCCGAGGGCAACTTCTGTCTCTTCTGCTCATTCTGCCCCAAAGTCCCACAGCACTGACGGTCGGATGCCCCAGGGCACGATCCTTACACCTCGTCTGTGTGCATCATTCTCGTGGTGACTGCATCCAGTGTCACGCTTTAGGTGCTGTTCCAGCTAAATCGCCTCTCGCCGGGGACTCTGTGAACCCCAAACTCATTTATCCAACGGTCAACATGGCTCTTCTACCTGGACATCCGGCAGGCACCTCAAAGTTAACATTTCCCAAACTGAACCCCCGACATCACCACACCCCCAGAGTATCTCTTCCCGTGCTCTTCCCGTCCATTTTCCAACTGCTCAAACCCAAATCTTTGGTCTCATCCTTAAGCCCTCTCTCTCCCAGGCACACTCCACACTTGATTTCTCAGCAGGGCTACCTTCAACACATGGCCATCATCTGAGCACCCCATCTCCGCAGTCACCCCGGCTCCAGCCATCACCTCACCTGGACCACTGCGAGGCCTCCCACCGGGTCCCCCGGCTCTGCCTCACCCACTGTGGTCTGCTCTCCATGCAGCAGCCAGGCGAGTCTTTTCAAATGTAAGTGAGTCCCGCCATCCCTCCAGCCTTCTTGGGGGACAGCCGGCACCGTGCTGCGAGCCTCACGCGGACTGGCCCTGCGATCTCCCCTCTCCCGCTGACCCGGCTCCAAGCACCCCGACCCTGCCACGCCCGACGCGGCCGCTGCCCTGCTCCCCCGTGGCCGAAACGCTCCTTCCCAGTTCTCGGCGCCGCTCGTCTCTCCGCGTCTTTCTCTTGATCTGCTTGTCGACGAGGCCTCCCGGACCGCCCGTCTGGGTCCAGTCCCCGCCGCGAGCTTCGCTGTCTTTCATACTTACACTCACTGTCCAGCAAGCTCTGCATTCACTCATCTGCACTGTTTCCGTCTCCCTCAGGAGAATGTAAGTTCCACACATAACAAACTCTCAGTACATAATTTTGAAGCACTCGAGGTCCCTCCCCACAGGCAGGCCAGATGTTCCGAACACACTCCTGGGGAAAACCAGCAACCCCTTCTCCTGCCCTCAGTCCTAACCGAAATCAAAGCTCCTAGGAATTCCCAGCTGGGCCTTGGCAAGGGGCTGTGAGCACTGAATCCCTGGGACAGAGGCACCTGTCACAGACTCACGACTTGCCCTGACTCGCCGCCACCATGTGTGCGTTCGGCTTCTCAGCTTGTCAGGTTTGGGGAGGGCAGCGGGGATGGCTCACACCCCGCCCGAGGGCCTCACCCCCAGGCTGGGCCTGGGCTGGCACCTCTTTGGCAGCCTGCCCTCACCCACCACAGGCAGCGCACTGCTTCCTGCCGTTTTGGTCTGAAAAAGCCACAGGACACGTGGGACAGCCAGGCTGCGTGTGGAGGTCGGCTGGCGGGGTCCGGGCGGGAGGAGAAAAACAGCGCGAAGGCAGACTGGCCTCTCTCTGCAGGGCAGCTTCGCAGAGGGACCGGCCCACGCGGCGAAGCCAGCACGGCCCTCCCCGCACCCGTACCTCGTGGTGAGCGGTTCCTCTGCGGCGCTTTTCCCCTTCAAGCTGGGCTGGAAAGAGCAGAAGCTGGAGGAAAAGGAAGAATCATTTAGTCAGCAGAGGCAAAGACCCTTCCACCCAGGGAGACGTCTTCAGAGCCAGGCCAGAGAGTGGGCGCCGGCCTCCAGCCCAGCCTGCCCCGACCCCAGGAGCAGCCCTCAGGCCTGCGACTCTGCACACGCAGCCTTGCTGACAACCACAGCACTCACACAGCCGTCACAGAGAAGAACCCGTGTTTCAGGGACCTCCGGGGGCCGGGCGCTTGGCCTTTCCACTGCCGCGTGCACAGAGCTGAACGCTGGGGACAGAGGCCGTCCTCCTTCCAGGTCTGCGAGCAGGTGGCTGCGGCTGGACGGCTGCCTGAGCCACGGGCTCTGCCTGAGCCACGGGCTCTGCCTGAGCCACGGGCTCTGCCTGAGCCACGGGCTCTGCCTGAGCCACGGGCTCTGCCTGAGCCACGGGCTCTGCCTGAGCCACGGGCTCTGCCTGAGCCACGGGCTCTGCCTGAGCCACGGGCTCTGCCTGAGCCACGGGCTCTGCCTGAGCCACGGGCTCTGCCTGAGCCACGGGCTCTGCCTGAGCCACGGACGCCGGCTGCTACATTAACTCGGACAAACCTAAGGCCCCGAGATCCAGGGAACAGCATCACATGTCTGCTTCCTTAGTTCGGTCTAACATGGAACTTGGCGGGAACAGCAAGAGGCGACATAGCAGCGGCCCCCAGAGGAGCCCCAGAGGGAGGTACTGGGAATGCAGAGCCCAGAGCTGGCCTGTCCGGGGCTGTTTGTCTCCACGGCCCTGCCCTGTGGACAGTGCAGCTGGCCCCGGTGCAGTGGCCAGCCAGGGCCAGCAGGGGGCAAAGCTAGAACCTCTGGGCACACGGTGGTCCTGGGACCTCGGGTCCGGACGTCAGGTCTCACCGAACACAGCCCCCAGCCCAGGGTGGGGGCAGCACCACCGCCCGTCACTCCAGCCCCGTGCAGCCTGTGTGTGGCCAGGACCCACTTTCCCTCCAAGACCCTCCACAAATCTCTAGCTGTTTATCTGCAACTTCAGTCATAACAAAAATAAATCAATATATAGTCAAGATTTCTTGGCTTACATTTCTTAGACTGATTCATCTATTTGGAGAAAGAGAAGTTAAACTAAAACAGCAGACTTCTCTCCTTCAGAAAAAGACATTCGTGCAGAAATGGAAAATCAGGGTTTGGGATTCTTTCCAATGAAATATCAAGTCAGAACAGCCCAAATTGGCAACTGGGTCAGAGAGAAAGAGTAAGCCAAGAACAAATTCTTGGAAAATCAGAAACTAAAGCCAGAACACTGCGGAAGGCTATGCCAGCTTCTTCAACGTGCTGTGTCCGCACTGTTCCCTTGGGCGTCACTGTCCTGAACTCCTCTGGCCCATGGAACGGAACTTGTTTCGGCCTGGCTGGTTTTGCTCAGCGGTTAGAGCACCGGCCCGCGGACCAGAGAGTCCCGGGTTTGAGGTCGCGTGGGTGGCGACCACTTGATGTGATGTGCCTCTCTCTCACATCGATGTTTCTTTCTTCCTCTTCCTCCCTCTCTCCCTCCCACTCTATCTGAAGGTAAATGCAAAAATGTTCTTGGGTGAAGATTAAAAATAAAAAGAAGAAGAAAAAAGAAATGGAGCCTATTTCCCGGGGCCTAGAAAGGTGTTCTATAGCTTTCTCTATACTTTGTTCCATAATTCAGCAGCTCTGTGGGTCAGTAAGTTCTTCCTTGTGTCTAACCTACATCCTCCTCACTGTGAGTCGAGAACACACTCTCTGCTCTCCCTGCTCCCAGCTCCGGATCCGTTTGCCCAAAGGAGGGTTTTCAAACTCTTACCTTTTGAAGACCTTACTCCGATCGCTGTTGTGGAAGACAAAAAACTTGGAACATCCATTTCGTAGAAAGATCTCCAGAGCAATGTCCTATGAAGAGAAAGCTTTTACTGACCCTGAAGCTCCGGAATGGAGGGACAGGGTAGAGCCGCTGGCCACCGCGGTTTGGGTCTCAGCATCGGTGTGATGGGCTTTCCTCTGATATGGGACCAGAGGCCGGAAAGGGAGACTCCTGGGCATGCGCCCTTGGAGGAGCAGAACTTATGCACTGAGACCCTGATTTCCTATAAATGCCTGATTCAGCCCGGCTGGTGCAGCTCAGTGGTTGAGTGTCGACCCTGCACCAAGAGGTCGCCGGTTGGATTCCCGGTCAGGGCACATGCTCAGGCTGTGGGCCTGATCCCCAGTGGGGGGCGTGCAGGAGGCGGCCAATCGATGTTCTCTCTCACTGATGTTTCCATCTCTCTCCCCCCTCTCTCTAAAATCAGTTAAAAAAATTATAAAAAGAATTGCCTGATTCAGAGGAGACTGAGACCCAGCCCCTCACCAATGAGCATGCACCAGGGACCCCTCCTCAAATCAGTGACCTTCCTGCTCAGACCCCGGCTGCAGGCGCCCCCTTGGTGCGCCTGCCCTTGAACACTGTGCCCCAAACCCTGGATGGACTCGCTTGTAGCTTGTGCAGCATGTGTTTCCCATGGTAGTTCCTCTGCTACTCCTGCATAAACTCAATTTCTGCTCATTCAAGCGGCTCAGTTTACCGCGTTACTTAGGGTAACATAGGCAACCCTTCCTGGCCAGTCTTGCCAACCTCCCACAGTGGGTGTGAGGACCGGTGGCAGCACCGAGCAGGGTCTTCGCAGGATGGGCGGGAGGGTGGGGGGCCAGGTTCCTTCGGCTGAAGCAGGAAACAAGAGCCCCACCTCCAGGACAAGCAAGGAGCAGAGAATGGAAGGAAGTGCCCAGGGACACCTTGGGACACTGACACCTTCAGGTGAGGGCTTTGGTTTCCCGAACCAAAGATCATCTTACTGGGAGCACTGGGGCGCTGGTGAGGGGGCGCAGCTGCCCATCAGGTCAGCAACCATGCCACCCACAGAAAGGAGGCACAGGGCCCGGGCCCGGCCCACTTTGCTGAGCCCCGTTGATGGCCAGCAATGTTGTCAGCGCCTATATGGACTCGACATGAGCTCCTTCTCTTTCCTCTCCCTCGCCCTCCGCTCTGCCCCCCTCACCCGCAGCAGGTAAACGACGGATTTGGAACAGCGGAGACGGAGCCCGCACTGGGAGGAGGTAAGAGAATCCCAGGGCTGAGGGAGGGGCAGAGCGCAGTGAGCGCTGGGCATGGAGGGACAGATGGGGTGGCTCAGGGTCAGACTCGGAGATGGGGTGCTGCCCCCAACAACAGAGGAAGGTCCTGCTTTCACCTGGCTGGAAACGGGAGGGAAACAAACCCAGAGAGGTGCCCAGCTTGCCAAGGTGGCAAAGCCGTGGTCAGGACTAGGTCCACGCTGGCCATACTGCCCAGAACCGCTGGGCAGGGCCTTTCAACTTTTCTAACTCATGTCCTTGCAAAGACGGTCCATGAGGTCAGGCAAAGTGGGGACCAGCCCTTTGTGGGCAAAGGCTGCAGAGGGAGAGCTGGCCAGATGCCAGCAGTTGGCTGGACCCTGGTCAGCAGGACAGCTGATCCTTTCTGATATTCTTTAGATGAGCCAGAGAAAGGCCTCCTTGGCTGCAGTTTCAGGAGGACCGCAGGCTGAACCACACACCCTTAGACAATTCCCAACGAGAGGCGCTCTCGCTCTGTCCTCAGGGTGAAGCAGAGCAGACACCTGCGGAGGGGGTAGGGAGGACGGGCCCCTCCTGTGAGGGGCTTCCTGCTTCCTCTCTGCCCGCTGCCCGGGGCGGGCAAAGGCCAGAGGTGTTGGAAGACCCTGGGGGCCCCAGAGTTCTTTCTCCCTTGGCCACTGAGCTGATGCTTCTGAACTTTGTAAACCAGGTCATTTCTCCCTGAGATGGGACCAAAACGGGCTGCGACCAGCTGACCACCGGGCTCTGCCTCTGAAAGGGACCTGCTTTGTGTACCACCCGGTGAGCCCCGAAGGGCCTGGCGAGGCTCTGGGACCCTGGCTGAGGGGACAGTCAGCAGACCTCTGAAGCGCTTGGAGGCTGTGGGGAGGGCAGCGGACGGGAGGGGTGGCCGCCAGCTGAGGGGTCCGTGCCATCAGAACAGGGCAGACTGGCATTCAACTCAGTCATCAGCTCCGCCCTGAGACAATGGAGCTGCTGTCCTGCATCCCTGAATGGCCAGGGCAGCTCTGGGCGTGTCTAGGGAAATAAAGCAAAGAGGCTGGATCTTAAGTGATAGGGACAGAAGCTCCCAACGCCGAATGGGAGGGGCTGGGAGAGAGCGGAGAGGTGAGAAGCTGGGCCAGGGCCAGGACCCACACAAGCTGGGGATTCACAGTGCGCCCCAAAGGGCCCTGGGCTATGCATGGGCAGGAGGGGGTCACGAGGGTATGTCCCTCACATTCCGACGGGGCAGATGGACCTGGACCACCGGCCCCATGAAGAGAAGTCGCCCTCCCCGCCCCGGGCCGTACCTGCAGGAGAAAGCGTGCCAGCCGGAGCTCCCTGAGGTCAGCGTAGCTGTGGCGCTGGCACGAGTAGTGGTCGGAGGACCTGTCCTTGCTGCACAGGTTGAAAATGAATGGATCGCTGACGCTGAAAGGGAAAGGCACAGTGCGAGGGTGTCGGGTGGGCGTGTCCTCTGCCCGTCCCCAGACCTGCCTGTGTTTCTGGGACAGCTGGGGAGCCCCCGTCACTGCCGAGCGGGGTGCCAGCTCCCAGTGACCTGATATGCCCCAAGCACCCGCCTGGGGAGTGGGATGGGCATCGGCCTCACCGCTGAGCACAGCAAGGCCAGGGGACAGCCTGCTGCACAGACAGGGGCACCGTGAGCAGCGTGCGTGCCCCGGGCACAGTGGCACAGTGCACTGGGGGCAGAGAGAGCCATCTCTAGTCACATCGAGAAACTTCAGGCTCTGGACTAGGTTCAGAAGGATGACAAGACACTATGAGAAAGCTGTGTTCAGCCTTGGGCAGCGTGAGGCCAGGAGGGGGCACCACATGGGAGAAAGTGGCAGAGAACCCGAGCCAGGAAGGGTGTGCAGCAGGGCTGAGACGCCAGGGGCCTGGAACAGTGGGCACAGCCTTGTGTGGCCCCTGGAGCGTGTGCCCAGAGCCGGGGCCAGCAGCGTGGTGGCAGCAGAGGTACCAGAGCTACTCCCAGAGGTCAGAATGACCCCGGTGGAGGGAAGGGAGAGTCGTGCATTTGGTGAGGATTCACCCCAAAGAGAACAGAGTCTGCACCGGAGGTCCCTGAAATGCCCGCAGGAAACCCCACGACGCCGCTCACCACCCATACAAGGAGAGCTTGAGACATAAGCGTGATTTCAGTTACGGGCAGTTACGTTCTGAGCCTCTGAGCTACATCGTCATTTTAGGTTGTGTGCATGACCACAGGAGCTCTGACAAATGAAGGGTCTCCCAAACCCCTCAGTCCTCAAGAAGCACGTGTGCCAACTGCAGACCCAAAGGACCAAGAGCTGAAAGAGCCCCGCGCCAGTGCCGGGTGCAGGGATGGTGAGAGGCTGTGTTCCGCCCCTGCCATCCCGGCCCAGCAGCAGCCCACGCTGGCCGGCCTGCAGGACCGGCCGTGCACCAGGCCTCTGTGTCATGCCTCCAGGGGGAACCCAGAAAGGGGTCAGGCCCTCACGCAGGCCGGCAGGACTTCCTCGGCCCATGGTCGAGGTGTGGCCCAGTGTCTGGGTGTGAAGAGCTGGGACTTGTCTACGCTGAGTGGTCACTGTGGTAGAAGGGAAGCTGTCCACAGGGACACGGCCCGAGACTGCTGCTCAGCGCCTGGTCCAGCCAGACCTCAAGGGTGTGGATCCCAGCCCCTCTTCCTCCTTCTTAGGACAGCCCTCCCAGGTGTCCTGCTCTGAGCCACGCTGCTATAGGACCGACAGAACACAAAGGTGGCTTTGGTCCAGAATGCTTCTGCTGGAGGCTTTAATTCAAACCTCCTAATGGTGGCAGCCCTGCGTTCATTATTAACGCCCCCCTCGGGGGCAGATCAGCTCTTCCTGGGCTTTGCCTCCCGGGGAGGCCAGGAGGTCATTCCAGTTCCTACCCTTGGCTTAGGTCAGGCAGCATCACAGGTCAAGGCACTGATGGGAATGACAATGGCTCCATTATCCAATCAGTATTATCACCCAGCATTCAATTACTATCGGAACAAATTCCTGAATGTATAATCAGAATCATTCACTAGATCACAGACTCTACCCGACTCAGCCTGCGTCTGACTCACTGGGAGGCAATGCAAGCCCGTGTCTTAAAGCCATGGTGCTCAGCACCTTGCTACAGCCACCGCAACCCAAGGCAGTGACCCCGTTCGGCTGAAACGAGACCCCAGGACTCAGAGCCTTCTAGCAAGGTCCTCGTGCCCGAGGACAGCGCAAGCACAGAGCTCGGCTGGCGCAGTGTTCATTCCGGGCTCTTGCGGGACATCGAGATGCCTTCCACGGCCGGGCGCTCAGCTGCATCGCAGTGTTTTAGAGAAACATTTCGGGTCAACTTAGCTTTATTTTTAACCGGCTTATTTATGTACCTTCCTTGTTTCCCATGGTCAAAAGAAGACTTAGTCCCCATTGATCCAGCATGATCCAATAGCCGTCTCGGAACAGAGGGAGCAGGGAGCCAGCAGCCCAGACCCCGAGACGAAGCTCCGTCTGCTAACAAACACTTCTTTGGGGCATGGTGACTCAAATGACCTATGCAATCCCCAAACGAGAGACCAGGGTAGTTATCTGTTCTCACTCAACTCCTAACATGCGCTGGAAAAGTACACTTCCAGACAGGTCTCCCTTGTCACCCCACATCAAGACGGAACCTGCCACCTGACAACCGGGCTTCTGTTAAAAGTGCAGATACAGTTGAATTGATCACTGTGAGATGCACCTCAAAACACAATTTCTCTAATCAATGAGATCTCACCCAACCCTCACTGGAGTTAAACCAGAGGTGGAGAGAAGCGGTGGATCGCACAAGTCATCACGCGGGCACGCCAGGGGCACGCCAGGGGCACGCCACGGGCACGGCCAAAAGCTTTCACCAGCTCTCAGGAAGGCAAGTCTGCAGACCCATTGTCCTTATTGATCAGTATCAATAAAACATGAGCAATAAGATGGGATGTGTGTGCCAAGTATTAATTAGGCTTCTCCTGCCTTGGAAGAGCACAGAGGACTCCCAGCAAACGCTTGGAATGAATAAAAGATGAAAATTAGCAGAGAGAAAAATTCCAAGCATTTGAAAGCAAATCTAAATCAAAGGAGGGTGGGCCCACATCTATTTTTCCATACTCCGTAGACCCCTGCGTCCTGACAGAGGCTGGGAATGACGTGACAAGTGGGGATTGGGATGCTGAGCCGTCGGTGGGCACGACGCTGACCCCTGTCAACAGCCCAGAATAGTCCTCGTCAAGGTGCAGCCCCAGACCAGCTGCATGCACATCAGCAGAGAGCTTGTTAAAGTCTCAGTCCCTCCCCAGATCTGCCAAAGTAGAAACTGGGGTGATTCCATGTGCGTTAACGTGAGAGTCACTGGGCTAACTAAGAGGTTCTGGCACCATCTGAGCCTCGGCTAACCAGAGAAGCCCAGGCTTGAGACTGGATGAAGAAGTCTCCACCCACATGTTTTCAACAGCCAGGAGCAACTGAGAACACACCACGTGACAACTGAGCTCCTAGCAGAAGTGCACACACGGCCACCTTGATTCGGGACGGCTGCACCCTGTGCACACAGAGAATTAATCAATAAGAGCTGGACTGAACGGGAATAGACCAAACACACTGATCCTGAAAAAGAACCTCAGCATTTCCTGCCAAAGACCTCTGGTGTCAGTTGGTATAAAATCACTTTTCATATTTCTATCCAAATCTCACCCATCCTTTGAGATCTAGATCTTAGCCCAGGTCCTCAAGTGGCCCTTCCTCGCCACACCTCTCAAGGGTGGACCCGAGGACCCTGCCCGGCATGTGCTCTGCCCCATGATGCCAGCGTGCCTCAGACTCTTCCCTGGAGCCTGTTGTGCGGCTGGTGCACTTGCTGGGCATGAGGGGCAGCGCCCAATGCTTCCCCTAAGGGTGGGCAAGCAGCCAGCTGTGGAACAGGTGAGCTGATGCCACGGAGTCTAACACCCAAACAATGTAAGGAGAGACGCCCCTGCCCCACGGTGCCCTCTGCCCTGCGGTGCCCTCTGCCCCACGGTGCCCTCTGCCCCGCGGTGCCCTCTGCCCCGCGGTGCTCTCCACGCCAGGGGAGGTCAGCTCCGGGGAGCACAGCCAAGATAGGGAGCGACACCCCTGCCCTGCGGTGCCCTCTGCCCCGTGGTGCTGTCTGCCCTGTGGTGCTCTCCACGCCAGGGGAGGTCAGCTTCGGGGAGCACAGCCAAGATGCCAGTGCCGCAGGGTCTTCCATCTGAGCCCACAGTTCAGTGCCAGGCCCACAGCTCGGCCACAGCGAGAACACGGGCGGAGGGGCAGGGTGAGGGAGCCGAAGGGAAGACCCGCGGGGACGTGGGACTCACTTGGACAGGCAGTGGCGGGTGCAGTAGACATCCCCCACGGGGGAGAGCGTGAAGTTCTCGCAGACGTAGAAGTGCTGGTGGCCGAGCAGCAGGAGCCCTTCCGAGATGAGGTGGCCCTGCACGATCACCAGGGAGAACTTCTGTGTCACCTGGAGGGAGAGAGCACCCCGTCAGGCCGTGGGCAAGGGACGCCGGCCTGCCTCGCTTATGGAGGGCAGGGCAGCGGCTGGGCACCCAGTAGGCACTTGGAAATGAGAGCAGCACCTGCCGGAACAGCCCTGCCCTGGTCAGTGGCACCTCTCCAAAGCCATGCGGACACTTGCCCTCCCCAGCCTGCCGCCCACGGTGGCGTGAGGAGCAGGAGGAAACATGGCTGCGCCAGGCACCCCACCCACCCCGATGGTCTGTGGTAACAGGGGGACCGTTGTTGAGGGACAGGCAGCTCTCAGTTACGGGGCGAAGGAGCTTGTCCACGGACCCGCTGGGAGGTGGCCGGGCCAGGACCAGAACCAGGCCAGGACCAGAACCACAGCAAGACTGGTGCTGCTGGTCCACGGGGTGGGCAGAGGGGCAGGGGCTCCCTCCTTTCAGACTGAAGACAGCACTGAGCCAAAGGTCACACGCTCCCAGAGGCAGTCTGGACCCAGCGACTGGCCAGTCCGTGCAGGCCCACTTGGGACCGTCCCGACCTCAGGCTCCCGGGAACTCGCTGTGGCCTCCGCTGAGACCCCTCTGAGAACCCGTCTCTCCGCCAGCCCTGTAGCCCACGGTCCCGACACGCTTCCTGGCCCATGGGTGGCCTTCGGGGAGCCTGGTGGGGACGCTGCCTTGGTGTGACCCAGAGACCGACAGGAAGGAAAGACTTGGCAGGTCCTTACATGGAATCAGTTTCCGAAGGAACGAATGAGGGAATAAATTCCAGATGGCGAGAGCCACGTGGACCGGGAATGAGCCAGGCCAACGTGTTCTCAGGGCAATTCTGGGCCAACTGCAGGGACTCGGAAGAGGGGCTGGCTTGTTCCACTTCCTGCCACACGACCACTGTAAACATTTTACACATTAACCACCATCATTTCTACAGCTGGGCCAGGGAAATTTCACTCAAGTTTAGAAAGACAATTTAAAAAGGTCCCAGAGATCAGAACGCCACCAAGGCTGCAGCGCGGTTTCCTGCTCAGCCTCGGGAGCCGGGTGGGGCGAGGAGGGCGGCGGAGAAGCCCCGGGCGAGCTGAGTCTGTGTCAGTGGGACTGGTCCAAGTGCAGGCGAGTGACCACGGCTGTTCCAACAAAGCTCTAACCACTGCCCTCCAGGACCAGTCCCTGCTGGACTGCTTCCCCACCCGAGGACGGAGGGTCTGCGCTCCTGCACCTAAGCCGGCCAGGCAGCCGGCCCGCCCTCCCGAGTCCCCTGCAGTGGCCTCACCACCTGCCGAGCCTCCTTCAACAGGAGCCATTGAACTTCACTCTCACCCAGACGTGTAGCGACTTGACAGCCAAGGGCCCCGCACCCACGACGGCCCTGTGCCAGGCTTTGGGGACGGAGGGGGCACGGCAAGCAAGGACCTGCCTCTCATGGACTTCAAGTCCAGCAGGGGCAGAGGGCTGGTGGACAAACAGGACAGGGGGTAAACGATTCACACTGTGATATGCCGAGAGGGGAGACACGGGGTGATGACAGGGAGCGAGAAACCTGGGGGCGCTCTTCATCAAGAACCCCGAGAACTGAAGGATGGAAGGGGCGGCGTGGACAAGCTGGAGGAACGTTTCAGGGACAGGGGGTTCCAGCATTTTGTCCAGAGCCCAGAGGCAGGGGGCAGGGGAGAGCAGAGAGGCTGGCCCAGCGCCAGGACCCAGGAGCACTGAGGTTGCAGGGCCGACGCCGTGGTCGGGCCGTCCGGTCTCACTCTGGCTGCAGCAGAAAGCCCAGGAAGGGTCACTTCTGAAAGGGGACACTGGCTGCTGGACGGGAATAGACTGGAAAGAGCCAAGGGTGGGAGGAGGGTGTCAGTCACGTGGCCGCTTCAGTGGCGCCGTGGAGGGAGGATGGCGTGGACATGGGAGGGGGGGACAGGCAGCATCTAGACCAGAAGGTGAGCTAAGCAGGAACAGCCACTGGACACACTGTGGGGAGGAGGGTGAGGAGGAATGCCCCTGGGGACTAAGGCAGGCGAGTGGAGTCCCCAGAAGCCTTGCCCAGAAGCAACCACAGTTCCCATGTCATTGTATGAAGGGCACCAGCTCATCTGCCCCTTGGCGTAGGATTACTTCGCGATAGAGACGCTTGGAAAACAGCAGGCATACTTAAGCACTCTGCCCCCTCCTGCAAGCAGACAGTAGGCTCCAGGTGAAAGACACCCTCCCAAGCTCAGGAGGGAAAGGACATTCTGTCACCCCCTCCCAAGCTCAGGAGGGAAAGGACATTCCATCACCCCCTCCCAAGCTCAGGAGGGAAAGGACATTCTGTCACCCCCTCCCAAGCTCAGGAGGGAAAGGACATTCCATCACCCCCTCCCAAGCTCAGGAGGGAAAGGACATTCTGTCACCCCCTCCCAAGCTCAGGAGGGAAAGGACATTCCATCACCCCCTCCCAAGCTCAGGAGGGAAAGGACATTCTGTCACCCCCTCCCGAGCTCAGGAGGGAAAGGACATTCCATCACCAGAGATGAGAAGTCAAGGCTGAGAGAACTCTCCGCAAACAAACCTTGTTGAACTAACCCTTCTCTTCCTGTAGCTTCCCTATGTATTTTATTTTATTTTTTTAAATGTTTTTTTTTATTGATTTTAGAGAGAGAGAGAGGAAGGGAGAGGCAGAGAGATAGAAACATGGATAAGAGAGAACATAGATTGGCTGCCTCCTGCAGTCCCCACTGGGGATCAGGCCCACAACCTGGGCACGTGCCCTGACTGGGAATCGAACCGGCGACCTTTTGGTGCAGGGTCAATGCTCAACCCCTGAGCCACACCGGCTGGCTCTCCTTATATATTTTAGGCCCTTCTTCACAGTCACTACTCTCCGTTCAAGCTAGTATATAAACACTTTTGCTGAACCACTTTTGAGTCTTCATTGTCCTGGGAAGGCCCCGTGTACATATAAACATAACATTTGTAAGCCTTGTTCTGTCAGTACAGTTCCCAGGCCTCGCTGGACCCTGTACTAGCGGGGACAGGAGAACCTGGGCCTCTCCCTGTACATGCTCGTCCAGAGAGGGTGGGAGAATGCACAGCATGTACTCTGCACGGTCTCCACACAAACAGACATGTACTCTGCACGGTCTCCACACAAACAGACATGTACTCTGCACGGTCTCCACACAAACAGACATGTACTCTGCACGGTCTCCAACACAAACAGACATGTACGTGCCTGCGCTTGCTCTTTCGTGTCTCGTCTTCTCCTTGCTAGCTCGTCCTGCAGGCCTGTCCTGCAGACCCATCCTGGTCCCTTTGTGTGTGGCTGTCCCACCTGACACTCGGTGCAGACCACCCCCTCGCACGGACGTACTGCGAGTTACTGGAGCAGTCCCCTAGAAGTTAGGCTTGTTTTCCAATGCTTTGACATTATAAATAATGCTGCAGTGACCATCTGGTACAACGTTGCTGTGGACACACAAGTCAGTCTGTAGGTTAAATTCCTAGATGGAGCACTTCAGGTCCAGGGTGTTGGTGTTTTAAACTGGTAACTATTGTCAGACAGCATTCCCACAGGTGGCACAGGGCAGACTCCCGTAGGAGGGCTATGCCAGGCTAATTAAACGTTTTCTCAAGTTCGCAGGGTGAGACGTGTAACAACAGCACCAGCTCTGGCCTATGTACCTCCAAAACCTCTCCCTCCTGGGGCGCCCCACCTTCACCCAACCTCTGTGGCCCCAACAGCAGAGCTGGAGCCCACTCCCATGATCTCCTGGTACTTCCCTTTGGGAAGAACTAAGTAACTGAGAATAAACCAGACCACAGGAAAAGGGTCTGGTGAGGGCTGAGTTAATAGCTTAAAATTGATTGTGCTAGAAAAAAATGGCATTTCAAAAACTGGAAAATGAACCGAGTGAACTACTACTGCTCCTCCATTTAGATCTGCCCTGGGAGGCTCCATCCCCACTTCACTCACGATTAAGAAATCCCTCCTGCCAGAGTCTATCGATCATTTTGGAAGGAGTGGAAGTTCTTTGAGACCGGCTAGAACAGGTAGTATCACTCCTGACCAGGTAAATGACTACGTTGTGCCTAACCCTGCGGATAAGGACCAGGTTGTCTGAAAATCCAAAAACACCAGAACTGAAGTTAGAGGGGCAGCCATGCCCTGGACAGTCCATGGAAGCCCGCGGCAGGGTCCCCCTGCCTCTGGCCCTGGTGCATCTCTGCAAGGCAAGGTCTGCCGCAGGCACTCCAAGGCCTTTCCTGCCGATTCACCTGCAATTTCGGGTGACACCGGATGCCACAGGTGCGAACTGAGAGCAGGGCGGCCACGTGAGGTGCCAGAGGAGAGCTGATGTGTCCATTCTGTTATATTTGTGCAAGATCGGCTGCAGAGGGGATTTAGCCTGCCCATGTGTATCTCATGCGCCTTCTGTACGTCTTCTGCTGCGACCTGCATGGCCAGTTACACATGGTCATTTTTCAGTAAAGTAGAGACAGTTGAGGAAGGGTTAGCTCTCAGAACAGAGAAAAACGATACAGATGGCATTTCTGTTGGCCACTTGTGAAGTCGGCCACCTGCTCTCTACCGTGATCACTGGTAGATGCGGCGTTTAGTCGCACTAGTAATCAAAGGAAAGAAAATTAAAACAAGGAGATATTTTGTACACACTAATTTGGCAAATCTGAGAAGACACCGTATGTAGATCTCTGCACGAGCTCATCCCCAGGCAGAGGTGAAACGCAGGAAAGCCCACACCTGCTCTTGGGCGCCCCACGCCTGGGCCACGGGAGACCCCACGGAAGGGATGGGGACCGCACCGTCCACAGTCAGTGTGCTACAAGTTCTGAAGGCTGTCCTGAGCACAGTGTCTAGTGCAAGCGGTGTGGACTGAGGATCGGCTCGGGGGTGATGAGCTGAGATTGAAGCAGTTCCCAGCTGAGACAGCTCTGACTACTGTAACCCGGACTTGTGGGTCCCAGGCATGTGTCAGAGACATGGTACATATGAGAATCA